GACGCCGATGGCTCGAATTGAGCGTCGAAGCGATCTTGATTTTTCGAAGATCGCTGGCGTTGAGATTCAGCGGCCTTCTTTCAAGCGGCACGTAGATTTTCAAGCCGAATCTCGTGAGATGAAGGATCAGGAGTGTGCTCCACAGGACGGAGTTTCGCAGAGTCGCCAATGAGACGAGGAGAGACTCCATACAATAGTTCGAAAGGAGAGAATCCAGTGACCGTACTTTTATTAATGCGTACCGCGAATAGTGCTTCAGGTAAAAATTCCGGCCATCTTGAAGGGTCCAAGGTTTTGTTCGCTTTGAACAATGCTTGTTCGAGAAGGCCGTTAAAGCGTTCGCACTTGCCGTTGGTGCGAGGATGATAACCGGAAGTACTGAGTTTGTGAATACCACAAGCAGTGTAAAAGGAAGTCATCTCCTTTGACAGAAAATTGGCTCCTCGATCCGAAAGGATCTCGGAGGGGACACCGTAAACTTCTATAAGTTGATGCAACAACACTTCCGCGACATTTGCGGAGGTTGCGGTTTTCAATGGGATAGCCAGAGGCCATCCAGTGCTATGATCTATCATTGTAAGTATCCATTTAAATCCCTCTTTGCTTTCTGGGAGTGAAATAAAATCCACGGCCCATCGTTCAAAGGGTTCAACCAAAGGAAGTGGGTACTGACGGGCTGTTTCCTGTGATAGGTCAGGGGAATCAAAGATCTGGCACGTGGGACAATGTTTGACGAAAGTTTCAACGTCTGAATATCGTCCTGGCCACCAACCACGCTGACGAAGAAGGCTTAAAGTGCCATCTCGGCCTCTATGGCCGTACCGTGTATGGAACGTGTTCATAAGCTCAGCGCGTTGGTAAAAAGGGATGAATGGGCTAGACTCAGCAGGGTTCTCGCCGCCTCCTGTCCAAAGGAGGGTTTCATCATTTGAATTCCAAACAAATTCCTTAGCACGTCGGACAGCGGTTTCAATGGCCGAAGTCGTGACCCACGAAGGAAGATCTTGATTACCTAAGACGTAAGGCAACACAAGAGGCCAGTCGGAAGGATCTTCAAGTCCTTCAACTGGTTCATGTATGCTCAAAATGGCATGGTCAGCTCGTCGACTCAACGCATCAGGCACGATGTTAGTTGATCCTTTCTTGTATTCAACCCGGATGGTCATTTCACTGAATTCTTCGATCCATCGAAGAAGACGACGAGTAGGAAGGGTTTGTTTGGAAAGATAAGTGAGGGAGGCGTGGTCCGTACGGACTATAGTATCTTCCACCGCTCCTTCAACGTAATTCCTCCATTTGCGCCAGGCGTGAATAATGGCATACAATTCACGTTCCTGCGCAGGATAGTTGCGTTGTGCCTTATTCAATTTGGTAGATTCAAACGCAACCGGATGAAGCTTGCCATCAGCAGCTTCCTGCAAAAGTACCGCACCCACAGCAAAGTCACTAGAGTCGGTCTCTATGACATACGGCTTTGTGGGGTCCGGCATGATAAGAATCGGAGCGCTAATCAGCCGCTCTTTCAACAAAACGAATGCTTTCTCACATTCTGGGGTCCATAGTATCTTGGCCTTCTTTGCCACATTCCCACCAGTCAAGTCATGTAACGGCGAAGCAATATTGGAAAAACCTGCGATAAAGCGACGGTAATATCCTGCCAGCCCCAAAAAGGACCTGACATCATGGACATTTGCCGGACGGGGCCATTGGCGCACGGCGTCCAACTTATCACTCATAGGTCGAATTCCATCTTTGGACACCATATGCCCAACGAATTGGATTTCGTCAGCGAACAGCTCGGATTTACCTCCGCTGACTTTGAGGTCAGCTTTACGAAGGGCTTCAAGAACAAGTTCAACGTGAGTTTGGTGCTCAACATCTGACTTCGAATAAACCAAGATGTCGTCTAAATAGACTTGCACGAACTTATCCAGGTATGGCCGCAGGATGTCGGACATCATACGCTGGAAAGTACTGGGAGCATTAACCAATCCGAACGGCATAACAAGCCATTCGTAATGGCCATATCGAGTACTGAATGCGGTCTTTGGGATGGACTCAGAAGCTAATTTCATCT